TCTCCATTTGTCGTACATACATATATCTAAGATAGGAAAAACTTGATTGTTTGCTTTACAGATATACCATTGTTTAACCTCTCGATCTGGTTCCTGTATTAATTAATGATTTGATGTTTTATTATGATATTGTAAGTCACATAGCAATATGTGAACCACAGCTTTTGATTTTTATAGTACAATTGTAAAAATCAGTTATTGTATGGGTAACCTGCTTTGTCTCATTCCTTAAAGTTACTGTAAACGTCTACCCATGCCCAACTTTAAACAATACAACTGCTCGGTAATAAAAATGTCTGGGGAACCTATAGCTTTGCAGCATGGAATCGTGTGACTGGTTTCGTAAGGGCTCCCACGACCGCCTCTTCCTATACGTGTAGACGGTGCATGGCAGTGAGGTTTCCGTAAGGGCCCCCACGACCGCCTCGTCCTATACGTGTAGACGGGGCACGGCAGTGAGGTTTCCGTAAGGGCTCCCACGACCGCCTCGTCCTATACGTGTAGACGGGGCACGGCAGTGAGGTTTCCGTAAGGGCTCCCACGACCGCCTCGTCCTATACGTGTAGACGGGGCACGGCAGTGAGGTTTCCGTAAGGGCTCCCACGACCGCCTCTTCCTATACGTGTAGACGGTGCACGCTAGTGAGGTTTCCGTAAGGGCCCCCACGACCGCCCCTTCCTCTACGTGTAGACGGTGCACGGCAGTGAGGGTTCCGTAAGGGCTCCCACGACCGCCTCGTCCTATACGTGTAGACGGGGCACGGCAGTGAGGTTTCCGTAAGGGCTCCCACGACCGCCTCTTCCTATACGTGTAGACGGGGCACGGCAGTGAGGTTTCCGTAAGGGCTCCCACGACCGCCTCGTCCTATACGTGTAGACGGGGCACGGCAGTGAGGTTTCCGTAAGGGCTCCCACGACCGCCTCGTCCTATACGTGTAGACGGGGCACGGCAGTGAGGTTTCCGTAAGGGCTCCCACGACCGCCTCTTCCTATACGTGTAGACGGGGCACGCCAGTGAGGTTTCCGTAAGGGCCCCCACGACCGCCCCTTCCTCTACGTGTAGACGGTGCACGGCAGTGAGGGTTCCGTAAGGGCCCCCACGACCGCCTCTTCCTATACGTGTAGACGGTGCACGGCAGTGCGGTTTCCGTAAGGGCCCCCACGACCGCCTCGTCCTATACGTGTAGACGGGGCACGGCAGTGAGGTTTCCGTAAGGGCTCCCACGACCGCCTCTTCCTATACGTGTAGACGGTGCATGGCAGTGAGGTTTCCGTAAGGGCTCCCACGACCGCCTCTTCCTATACGTGTAGACGGAGCACGCCAGTGAGGTTTCCGTAAGGGCCCCCACGACCGCCTCTTCCTAAACGTGTAGACGGTGCACGGCAGTGATGTTTCCGTAAGGGTCCCCACGACCGCCTCTTCCTATACGTGTAGACGGAGCACGCCAGTGAGGTTTCCGTAAGGGCCCCCACGACCGCCTCTTCCTATACGTGTAGACGGTGCACGGCAGTGATGTTTCCGTAAGGGTCCCCACGACCGCCTCTTCCTATACGTGTAGACGGTGCACGCAAGTGAGGTTTCCGTAAGGGCCCCCACGACCCCCTCTTCCTATACGTGTCGACGGTGCACGGCAATGAGATTTCCGGAGGACACAACAATGGCAGGCTAAATGTCACCTCGCGCGTGTAATGTACGTGTGGATTGTATACGGTGCACGGCAGTGATGTTTTCGTAAGGGTCCCCACGACCGCCTCTTCCTATACGGGTAGACGGTGCACGCCAGGGAGGTTTCCGTAAGGGCCCCCACGACCGCCTCTTCCTATACGTGTAGACGGTGCACGGCAATGAGGTTTCCGGAGGACACAACAATGGCAGGCTAATTGTCACCTCGCGCGTGTAATGTACGTGTGGATTGTATGCAGTGACCTTGAGATGTCATTTGTATCAATGACAACAGATTAAGATTATCATGAGACAATTTATAACAACTAACACGTTTTTATCATGTTGTGTCTTTAGCTTGTAGGGGATACTGTAGTAGGGTGGTGTAAGATATAGCCAATCCCTGTAGTGACACACACGTATAATACATCTGTTTTTATCACTCAGTTGGTTGATGTAGAAAGTCAAAGTATATAGTTAGTGAACCATTCAGCCGTATCGTCCAGTTTAGAATTTCCTGTGGTACTATGGCCAGTTCATAAAAGTCCCTGTCAAAAGTTTTAATACGTAGATTCCCAATCTATTTTGTGCAATGTCCGTCAGCAATGATGGGCTAGGGTTAGGGTTAGGGTTCCCAACAAAAATGTAATTGTCGAGAAAGGGTAGGTTCACTAGTGGTAAGTCTCCCTATTGCTATGTTGACATACAATGTATCAAGGACTGATGTATTTGATGATTAGATTAACTGAATACAGCTCGCGAGGTTAATACGACCGACGAGGTCAATACATTTTCTGATAAATAATAAAGACGGCATCGTTGATACATCTTAAAATAAAAGTGAAGGACTAAGCAAGGTGTTTTTACCTTTTACGAGCAGTTCTTCAAAAACATATGTATCTTTATACAGCGATACATAGTCAAATAGAGCCCCAAGATGGTCGAACGCGCTAGCGATACATAGTTAAATAGAGACCCAAGATGGTTGAAAGCGCTAGCGATACATAGTTAAAAAAAGCCGCAAGATGGTCGAATGCGCTAGCCGATTATACTAGTATTCGTGTTTTGTTTTATTTATATCTTTATATAGCGATACATAGTTAAATAAAGCCCCAAGATGGTCGAACGCGCTAGCCGATTATACTAGTATTCGTGTTTTGTTTTATTTATATCTTTATATAGCGATACATAGTTAAATAAAGCCCCAAGATGGTCGAACGCGCTAGCCGACAAATAGTTAAATAGAGCCCCAAGATGGTCGAAAGCGCTAGCCGATTATACTAGTCTTCGTGTTTTGTTTTATTTATATATTTATATAGCGATACATAGTCAAATAGAGCCCCAAGATGGTCGAACGCGCTAGCCGACAAATAGTTAAATAGAGCCCCAAGATGGTCGAAAGCGCTAGCCGATTATACTATTTTCGTGTTTTGTTTTATTTATATCTTTATATAGCGATACATAGTCAAATAGAGCCCCAAGATGGTCGAAAGCGCTAGCGATACATAGTTAAATAGAGCTCCAAGATGGTCGAAAGCGCTAGCGATACATAGTCAAATAGAGACCCAAGATGGTCGAAAGCGCTAGCCGATTATACTAGTCTTCGTGTTTTGTTTTATTTATATCTTTATATAGCGATAAATAATTAAATAGAGCCCCAAGATGGTCGAAAGCGCTAGCCGATTATACTAGTCTTCGTGTTTTGTTTTATTTATATCTTTATATAGCGATAAATAATTAAATAGAGCCCCAAGATGGTCGAAAGCGCTAGCGATACATAGTCAAATAGAGCCCCAAGATGGTCGAAAGCGCCAGCGATACATAGTTAAATAGAGCCCCAAGATGGTCGAACGCGCTAGCGATACATAGTCAAATAGAGCCCCAAGATGGTGGAAAACGCTAGCCGATTATACTAGTCTTCGTGTTTTGTTTTATTTATATCTTTATATATATGAAGAAAAAAAAGTCGGTTAAAAAGGGCTCATTTTGTCTCTGTGTAAATTTTACCGCCAAACTCAACAAAGATATTGTCAACCAATAGTTCATTCAATATCCCGACTTCATCATCAGCATATTTCATATTTGCCTTCGTTGCGATTTTTGAAAGCAATATGCTCCAAAATGGTTCCTTATATTTTTTCGCGTTTATTGTGAACAAAACTCTCCTTATAATAAAACGAAGGTTTAACTTCGGATGAGGTATCGTAGTGAGCAGAGTTAAAACATTGAAAGTTCCGAGAGGTAATCCCGAGGAGCGGGTGCTGGAAACTGAAAAAGCAGCAACCTGGGTTGATACATGCTTTTGTTTTCGCTGTATATGACGGTATTTAAATAGGTGGCCATTATCAGTAGGTTTGACATGTAAGACTTTTTATCTTGAAATAACATCTCCAAATGTGTACAAAGTGAGGTTTGGTTACAATGTCTACACACAAGCGGCTGTGTTAAACTCGATGAGTGTAAAAAGGAATAAATAGATAAAAACCAGTGTCAACACACAGGGGCATCGAACGGAAAAAGAAATAGAAAGCGAGCCGTTCCTACACCTCTTGATGTGTCTATGAGGACACAGGAAGTATTAAAAAAACTACGAAAGCCAAGCATAAGCCCTGGATTTCTAGTGGTTCCCGGCCTTCTTAGTGGGCTGTTTTGATATATGTGGTTCACTGATCAGAAACGAAATTTTATTGATTTCTTCTTTTCTAATTCCAAAGAAATAACACATCCAAGATATGGATGTTATTGGAGCGGTCGGTTAGGGGAACCATTAACTGTCTTATCGCACGATATAATGGAGGAATCTGCAACAGATGAGGATGGTTTGAAATAATTGAAGTTATTTTATTGCTTCATATCAGGAGATACTGGATTGAAGATTACAACATTATTGGAATAGAATGTTTGTCATCGTCGTTTTTAGTATTGCAACATGGACTTTTTTAATTAAAATATTCCGACTTGTTAACCTTCAAGGAAATATGGTAACAGTTACGTACAAATATTAGAAAACACAAGATTTTCTATTTTCTTTTTATCTTTCTCATATATATCACGAATGTTGTTATATTTGACACGAGAGCTGTTTTACAGAAATATTCTCATCCTGTCTGTAATAGATCACCCTTCGTGGTCTAAGTAGTTATTCCTGTAATCTCCAATGTACATAGATATTCCATTGCTCTCTTATATAGATATGCCTGTGCTGTTCTATACAGATATCCTCCTATTGTGTTTTATATATATATATCCTATCCTCTATAACATCTTCGTTATCTCCTTTGTAGAATTTGATGATGGTTGACGGCACGGAGGAAAACAACACAAACACAGAGTATGCGTCAAATTATCCAATTATATTTGCATAACCAATACAACTGATTTTATAATCTTCAAACTACAAAGTTTTATACTCTAACAAACACAGATCTATAGTACCTATGTAGAACGGTGATTTATAACGCCATTATAACGGTAGCAAAACAACCCAAATAATAGAAAGAATTTAACTATATTGTCATACAATGATTAATGATCACACACATAGAAAGGATATCACTCTGTGGTATCACACATATATTTTTCACAGTTGTTTCTAATGTACGTTTTCTTCAAAAAAGGTATTAAAATATGAAGTACATATAAAACGTAACCAACAACGACTATCAATATAACAGAGAAGTTTATCATAACAAAGTATCATCAACATCACTGCAGTCTTCTCCTGTAATGGACCATAGCTGTTGATAGGACGTTAAACAATAGTAAATCAAACTAAACCAAACCTGTAATGGACCATAGCTGTTGATAGGACGTTAAACAATAGTAAATCAAACTAAATCAAACCTGGAATGAACAAACTTTCAAAAACCGAAATATCAGATGATACAATTTGTTTTTACATTTACCTTTGTTGAATCCTAATCACACGGAGGTTGGTGATCGGACTAGGTGCTAATATTGTTAGAAAATGGTCAAAATTATCTTTATGACGTCACTTCAATTCTTAAGTTATGATACTCTCCGCCAAAAGTAGTATTGTTTTCTTGACAATTCGCTTAATTTTCGTAATTTATGATTCATTTTAACAATTAAGGAATTTCATTTTGGCAAGTATCTGTTACATAGACCAGAACCTATCCATTGTTCTCAGGTTCATATAACTGCATATTCACCTCAACAAATGTCAATAATTGATAGGAATAGCATCCTATTTTCATATACAAATTATCATGACCAAAATGTGGTAACCCCGTTTAATACAATTTACTATCATGGCCAAAATATAGCAACCTCCTTCAATAAGATAAACTATCATAACCAAAATTTATTAATCTCTTTTAATACAATTAACTATCATGGCCAAAACGAGTAACCTCGTTTAATAAAATTAACTATCATGACCAAAATGTAATAACCTATTTTAAAATAATTATCTATCATTACTAACGAAATGTAGTATCATCTTTTAACAAATAAACTATCATAGACCGGAATGTAATATCATCTTTTAACATATTAACAATTATAGACCGAAATGTAGTATCATCTTTTAACATATAAACTAGCATAGACCGAAATGTAGTATCATCTTTTAACATGTAAACTATCATAGAACAAACATGCAGTATCATGTTGTTTAAAGCAAGTTATCATAAACCTCAATGTCGTAATCTCTTGTAGGTATGAAAAACAATTATATAACATCCACACATCGAGTTACATTCTGGTATACCGGATACTGGTGTTTTCATTTACTGTAGATTATCAATAACTTGCAAAAATATGAACATTATTTTCGAATTCATGTAACATTTAATATTTATGCAAAAACATATCTTTTAAGTACATTTGTTCTGAAGGTACCTCTTTTCCGACTACCATATTTCTGAATTTCCCATTATATCAAATATCGCACATGACAATTAGAACGTTCTTCTCTCAGACATTAACATTCAGGAGCTTAAATATTCACTACTTAGTTGTTTTCGACCGAATTTAAACAAATTTAATTATGTACAGTTCGTGTATTTCAAACTGTTATTTAAAAGGTCATTCCCTTTTGTTACTTCATAATTATATCGTTAAACAAATAATAAGACTGATTAATATCTACACACATGTAACTACTCTAGAATTTAATATGAATTGTATTGCAGTTCAGCCTACGTAAATCTGGGAATGTTTTATTGTTCATTTTGTTTGTTATAAAAACATTCTATAAGGATTAAATAACACCAAAGAAAGTTTTATATTTTGATATTTAAACGTAACGATCCCTGTAACATTTTCTTTGTTGTTAGTTGTCAGTGTTTTGTTCCTAACATTTATGTTAACTCTTACGTGTTGTTACATATCAGTGTATCACATATCCTCGGCAATTCAACTGCTCGTTATTAATTGGATGCCACTGTGATATATATATAATGTTATCTATATTCGGACAGGTAGAAGCCTATTTTATAGGTCACCATGACGACACAGGGGTGTACATTTCAACAATAGTAAGAAGTACCTACACGAAAGTGACATAATAAAGGAAATTAAACATTAAGTGGATATATAATGTGGACAAGTAGAAACGTTACCAATGAAAGTATAATGCCTCGTTACAAACTGTACAGAAATTAATAATACGCCAATGTGTCCTACTTGTCATAACTCGGTCTTTCTAGGTTTTCCGAATTCGTTATTAGAATTCAATGATATGACTAGCTTACATAATCTAGTCATGTATTCAAATCATTCTAAAAACATCATAAGACAACAATATTGTGACTAGTTTATGATATTAGTTTCATAACAGTACTTTATTTCACAGTACGTCCTAAACATAGATCATCTGTAACCCTATATATACAGACCCTTCCCTCGAGATCACATGGCAGTGTTGTGTTTAACGTAACTGTCAACATGTATCAAACACATACAAAATAAAACTTCTATAAATAACTAAATAACCTTCATATATATCCTGATGGTCTCGATGTTAGGAACCGCCTCCAGATTGTTGATGTATATATATGTATAGAGAGAGTTGCTGAAGCCTTTAGATTTATGTTGATTATCAACTTAAGTACATTTAGCAATTGTGTGTTTTGTCATATGCCTTTCGAAAAATATATGTGTCTGTTTGACTAAAATCATTTGCAATTTCTTAAAATACCATTATACATATAAGGAATCATTGTGAGAAAGAACCATTTTATCTGGTTTACCTTATTGATGTGTTGTATTTCCAATAGTAAGCTGATAACACATGTAGTTTATAAATGGACCTTATAACATATTTTCAAACCATTCTAATAACTACAGTGGGAGATGATTTATTATGCTTCTGAAATAATGAAATAATTTAATTCTACGGTTGATATATATGTGCTATATTTACTATAAATGTCCTTGAATCTTTCGCCTTTTTATTGTAGCTGTACAACAAATGATAAGATCTAACTATGAGGGAAATTTTCATAAATCTCTCTCGTCCGTCAGATATTTGTCCTTGGCTTGCACTTGTACGAGTTCTTCCTTTGTCTGGTACATTGGGCCATCAAACGAATATTTAGCGTGCGCATTATAAGGTCCCTCATATCCCTCTCCGTAATCATATGGAATCTGGCCGTTAGTCACTCCAGCCTTCCCGTTCATAGTGGGCCCCCCAACCGTACCGTCCTTGTTTCCTGAGTCGTCCTCAAAAGCACCATAAGAAAACATTTTCCCTGAGCCGTCTGACTTCAAAGTGTCCTCGGGTTTCCACATATCCTCTGAAGGAGGGTCTGCCCAGGGCTGTTTCTCTCCGGACGCAAAGATTCCGTAGAACGTTATACCAAGGAAATGAACGACACTGGCAATGATGAAGACGATCTCCCATTCATCTGCAGTCTGAGGAGGTGGTATGAATATAGTTTCAGTAAATCATATCGATTGTAACTTTCTCATGAATTTAGACAAAATGAATGAATTGCTGTATTTATCACTTTTCTCTGTAAGGGTTTACTGATAAATAATTAAATACATTTTTTCATTGCAAATCATAATTTATTATTTATTTATTTTGCTGTTGAAAGTAAATTTTGATGGGTCAATTTATTTTAAACACATATTGGATTGGTTGGCAAAACCACTGCCATATTAAGTAAATCAATATGGTGAATACGGTGATCTGACATTGTTATCTCCTCCTAAGGCTCAGTGAATATATTTATATGGTGATCTTACATTGTTATCTCCCTCTAAGGATCAGTTAATCTATTTTCCTCGTGTAGATGAAGTTAGGCATTAATTACAAAGAAATCAAAAGAAGATACTTACTGCTCCTTTGGTCAGCAGTTCCGTGAAGATTGGACACAGCATGCCTGCCAGTGTACCCACACCATTGGACAATCCCATCAAGATACTGGCGTAGCGCGGGGCGATATCAAGGTGGTTCACGTTAAACCCTGGCAAAAAAACATGGATAGCTAGTACAATAGACGAATAATATGTAACAATCAATGGAAAGATAAGATTGTCCAAAAATTAAGTTGGCTTACCAAGCGGGACACTTTTAGTTTGGGTATTCTGATGTATGTACCATTCAGTATTTCGTTTTTACGTCTAGTGTGTATGTTGTGTACAGAGTGAAACTTGGTTTGCCAGCCCGGGCACATTGACGTAGTTTAATACGTATAATTTTATTTTGCTTGAGCTGAAGTTGGTGTATCAAGACCCCCCTCCCTCAGAAAAAAATCTTTATAATGAAAAAACGGGCTGTCCGTGTTATTATGGCTAATACACGTCTGATAAATGTTTGACACAAACAGTGGTTTGAGAGATACAAGAAGGAAATCAATTTAAAGCGATACACGATTTTAAAATTAATTCCATTTATCGTGACGCTCAAAACATTTAGTTCAACCATCGGTATTTATTCAAATTGTATTTGTGTTATTTTGTTTTCACAGTTCCCATAATATTTGAATGACTATAGATGACACATACATCCCGACAACCATTCCAACATGAGTTCAGCGACTACATACAAATTGTGACAGAATGAATTGTATTAACAACTTCTGCAGAAAAAGAACTTACAATCTTACAGTCTCTCTGTGTAACAGTTTTGTTTAATGAGTTTAACAGATACTATCGCATCGAAACTCTATTGACGAAACAGCTTATCTCTTGAATAACCAAATGTCTAATGCCATGGCAAAGTAATTTATCACTTTTCTCGCACGTGCATAATGTAATTTTTCAATCCAATACATGTGCAGATTAAAATGTATAGCTAACTCTACATGTTGCCTTGAGAATTCTATAAATGTTAAGTAATTTAGCTATGCATGCTGCAATCACATTATTTCCTGTTGCAAGGATATATGGTGTGGACAGCATCGATTTGCAAAGTTAAAATGATTTTAAATTGGCCTTTTAATTAAGGCCAAACTCATAGCTGAGGTTGTGGTGTTTGCTATTTGTATTTCTCTCCAGTCTGATTTTTTCTGACCAGCCCAAAGTACGTATAATGTTGATCAAATTCAATACCAAAATCTCTTTTTTATTCTTTAAACGAAAGGATTAAATGTTTTGACAATGAAACTAAAAAAAAAAAAATGATGTTAGGACGACAATGTGGATAAAAACAGTAAATAAGAAAACAGCGGAACAAAAGAGACGCCATGAGGAAAAGAAAACACTATTTTAGAAGAGTAAGCATTCATGTACCACATGAGTCAACCGCCATGGTGTCTCCTATTTATTTCAGACAAGAAAGTAAGGTCTACAGCACAGTAATCAGGTCCTAAAAACCAGAAACACATAAAAACTGAGATATCAAGTCCAATGACCACAGCCTTTCTGCAACGTAAACTGTAGCCTCTAAGGTAAATACCGTAACTAGTAACGTTTCTATAAAGTGGACTCATTTGTCGATTACTAATTGACATTTAATATTTTCTGATATTATTCCGACAAGGTTTGATGTGCTACACACATCACCGTTTTGCAGCTTTTGTCGTTTTTGTACATTTAATCCATTCTATAGACTTACTCTATGCATTGGAAAATTTTCGAAAATTTAACCCCGCGTAAATAACCCGTTTTACAGTAATACGAAACTAATTGAAGTATTGTTTGGTTGCAATAAATTACAAGTGTTCGTTTACCTAACCACCAATAAACTGCATTTTATTCAGAGGATGAATGTTCGTAATAGAGAAGCCCTTAGTTAAAGGGCGCCACTATTTTAACTACCACGCTTCATAGTTTAGGATTTCAACCAATCAAATTGACTGAAGGTGTTAATCAACCATCCCTTTTCCATTCAATGAATGGCTTGGAAGTTGATAAATCGAGCCAATTGTGACAAAAGATGTTTTAAGTGCACACTGTTTTAAACATAATCCTATGAACCTCAAAATACACTCTACACCAAGGTGTTTGTCTCATACTAAAGCTGGAGTGTAATCAAACAAGTTTAGTAATCTTAAGGGTTGTTATATCATTGGTCAGCAATCAACCGTACCGCCCGTCGCACACTAGCGTGCAAACGTGATACAGTACATATCGCCGGCAGCCAGCAGCAGCCATTAAGTATCTCAAAAGGCATCATTTGCGTTTGGATCGGTGTCAATTTAGGAAATCACCAAAACCCTACTTAAGGCCTTCGTTGACGTGCATCCGCTTTCCAAATGCATAATGTGTATTAAGAAAGGCGACAACTATTGACTAACGGGACGTATTCGCCTGACACTAAGGGAGTGGTGTATTATAGTATGGGTAGGGCTATGGAGATGATTAGAACAGTTGAAATGCCAGAGTAGTAGAGCAGCTCTATGTTCACACCTTTTAATATTGCAATTTTATCTTTGGTATACCAAAATAGCTGCCGCCGCCTTTAAACGTGCTCTGAGAAGGTCAAACTTTGCATTTTAGACAAGTGGCAACTTTCTCATGCATTTTCTAACTCCTCTGTCTCCAGTATAAACCGTAGTACAGTAATTGGTGGCCTGCTGTTAGGAAATGGACAGCTAATGATGCAGAGATAATTCGATCATGGCGAACACCGCTGAACAAGCACCTGCTATTTTATAACACAACAATCAAACGGCGACTGCAACCCGAATGTTCTTTATTACCATATATGGTATGCTACATAATTAATTGGCATATTATGTCCATTATTGCACCGTATGCGTCAGTAATGTGTGATTGGATTGTTTGGATTGTAGCTACAAAAACCGTGGATTATCTCCACTATGGGTCTATAATTTCTATCAAAGCGATGATTAGGAGATAACACTTGGAATAGAGTACGGGTATCGCCTGACTGACTGTCAATATGTCCTTCTCTTTTAACATAGATCGTTCAGGCGTGGCTGCATTCACAATCAGTTTGTTCAACTCGGCTGCATTACACGGGTTTTACATTTAAATCTATTTTACCACTCGGTCCCACAGAATGCTAACATAATTCTATAAAAAGGGGCCTAAAGGCTATCTTTGTATTACAGTAACTAACGTTTTTCATTAATCAATTTGATTAACGGGTAAAATGTAAAATGAAGTATAGCTGATTGTTTGTTTAGTTAATTTTCTTTGAACATTATTGCTCTTCAATTTCAGTTTTAATCTATAATTGTCGTGAATAATGATATAAAAGTATCTGCCTGAAGTAATAGTAACTGCAAAATGTGTCTCTTAAATGAAATATATTGTAACACACGCTGGACACCAAGGCAATGCTTCTTGTAATTTTAGACCGTATTTATCGCATACACGTATACCGTCAGAGGTTCGTTAAAATCTGTATTATCTTGGATAGCTTTTACGGTGCTATCGACGCTTTTTTAAAAACCGGAAAACTTCCTCTCAATTATCACGATGAAAGTAACATGTCCAACTCCTAACGCCACACAAACTCTTTCGTGCAGTCACGTAAAGATTACAGCACAACAATGTTTCAGTTCAACATTGTCATACTAGTATATAATCTGCCTTCATCATGGGCTATCTCCGTAGATATGTATCACAGGCTATCTCCGTAGATATGTATCACGGGCTATCGCCGTAGATATGTATAAAGTCACCAATCGAAACACCTGCTCTTATCATCGGTGTTCAGTTTTAAGTGTTCTTGTGTATTTCTTTGTTCACATTTTGCTATAGTTTCAACGATTTTTATTAAAATGACATTATTGTTTAAATTTGGATTTTTCTTAATTAGTTTTATCTCATATGCGTCAGCTCTATTATTATTTCGTTATATCGAGCATTAATTTGTTTTCGTGTCGTGTGAGTTTTGTGAGGACATTAAATACTCATACGACCGTTAACTCACCTTTTATCAGAGGTACCATTTCACAATGCCCATCTTAGGGAGTATGTATGTCAAAGTTGAAATCATTTCCAATAGCTTATTCTAAATATTATAATTTCCTCGATACATAAGCCCTATTGTCCCAAAACCCTTATGGACAAGGTAACCTACATGATAAATTGTTAATACACAGTAAAGACATTCTGCTATAATAATCGTGATCTGTTTTGCCTCCAGATTTTGAGAGGCTCATTACGATTTTTCTTTTTAATTTTGTGTTATTTTGCGTTCCTCATTTCCTTGTCTTTTGTTTTTATACTCGTCCTTCTGTAGAGAAGTATTTTTTTTCAATTTTCACATTTTCATTGACTACTAGAACATTTTTTTTTTTTATATATAATGTGGTATGTCGTCATTGAACCGTCATTATTTAATTTTAAGTGATGATTACACTTAATGTTTCATGGTTTTCATAGCTTTTAATGACTTCCTTCCTAAATTGATTCTTTATTTAATACATTCGATAGATCCAGCATGTAACATTAAGAATTAAATAGTAAACCTAACATTACAGGTATAGGAAAACTACTAAAAGGTAGCATATGGGATTGAATTACAGTGTGTACTCACCAGATATAGCGAATCCGCTAGAGCCGACAGCAAGCGTGAGACATACCATGGCGGTGGTGGTGTTCCTTGTAATGCCAACTCCAAGAAGGAAGCACGCCTCCAACCCAAACCCTGTAATACATTCATGTATTCTGTATAGTTTATTTTTTTATTTTTTATATTATATTTTCAAAATTTTATGACATAAACATATATATACATATACATACAATGTACATGGGCGTCAATAATCGCCTTTAAATAATGTACTTACTATTCAAAATAATCTATCAAGTATCAGTATAAGTATAAATTCACATTTAAAAAAATAAACTTCCGGATATTCTTGTCCGTACTCTATTCTAATTAAAATTGTATTATAATTTAGTGTCTGATTTCCGGTTAGAGTCACGATGGTGAACAGACTTCGCACAAACGTTATTATATGGTAAATATTAGTATAAGAAATGCTTCGTATGGTATAACATCATCCAATTCAGCGAATTAAAGGGTCATGTTAGCGTTATAGTTCTAGAGTATGTGTTGATAATAGTCAGGGTATAATCTATTAAACAAAAACAGTTTCCTTTCCGACCCAAAACCTGTAATAGATCTTCTTGATAGTAAACCATGTAACAAATATTCTGTATAGTTAATTGTCTCTGGTCCAAACCCTATAATACATAGTCTGTATAGTAAATTGTCTCTGGTCCAAACCCTGTAATACATACATGTATAGTAAATTGTCTGGTCCAAACCCTGTAATACGTAGTCTGTATAGTAAATTGTCTCTGGTCCAAACCCTATAATACATAGTCTGTATAGTAAATTGTCTCTGGTCCAAACCCTATAATACATAGTCTGTATAGTAAATTGTCTGGTCCAAACCCTGTAATACATACATGTATAGTAAATTGTCTGACCCAAACCCTGTAATACATATTCTGTATAGTTAATTGCCTCTGGTCCAAACCCTGTAACACATACTCTGTAAAGTAAACTGTCTGACCCAAACCCTTTAATGCATTTTCTGTACAGTAAGTTTTCTGACCCAAACCGTTTAACAGATATTCTGTAAAAAAAATTGTCTGACCCAAACCATGTAATACTTTGACAAACATATATACAATTTTCTAATACCCATTACAACTTTATTCCCTTTTCCCATTTTCAATTTGAATTTTATAATGATTTAAGCTGATATGTTTATACAAATTATACTTATTCATGAACAATAATATTTATTAAATCAATATTTTACTAAATCGTGTTGACTAATAGATTATGAAGCTGACATCCATTCCTAGGGGATTATAGATCAATAGGGAATAACGATATATAACATATAAGATATATGGGAGAGGGTTGCTTTATAAAGACAATTTTGCGATAATCGTAGAAGGCCATACCTCCACAATTGAAGATTTTGCGGACCACGGTGGTAGAGAGAATGCCCCGCCGCCGAAGGAAGTCAGCAAGTTGGCCACCGAACGGAACAATGATAGCCATCACTAAATGGGGTAACGCAGATATCAACCCGCTCTACAACAAACAACATAAACAAATATATTACAGAAGGCAGAGAGTTTAACAGCTGTCAAAGATACTCATCAGTAATTAGTTTTGAGTGTTTTTTTTTAAACCATTGACATCACTTCTCAATCGACCTGTTTAGTTGACAACTATGAATGCAGTGTGATACCAACACCAGTCCGCCTCAGAGGTGATTAATATACAACTGTAACAATATACAGACTAGGCTCAACTTACATTTCTGTTCATATAGCGGACCGTTATTAATCGATGACTTTTTGTTTACAATACCACAGAAACTGACAATCTCTACCTCCGGGAAATAGTAATACTTTATTTGTATCTGGCAGACTTGTAATCGTTCTATTTTACAGTTAAACTTTAATATTGTCGACGTTTTCATTAGTTACCTGATTACACAGTGGCTGCTTTCGGAATGTTTCTTAACAATGCACATTAGTCTTATATGTCTTGACAGCAAGTAGGCGTTATGCATTTTAATTGACAGACAGATCAAAATAATCAAAATTTAATTGAAAATGAAGAGAGCCATTGTGATGAAATCACCAGCTTAATTAAAAAGTAAATACTCCATAGATTAAGAAAATTTAAAAAAGAAAACCAGAAACTTATATGTTAGATTCTAACAGACGCAAAATAAAAATTACTCAACTCCATACAGAGAACCTCGATAATCTGGTCTATGCATTTAGACACAAAACCGGTGTAAAGCGAAACCTCGTTGATTTAAAACAGTATAACACCTCGATACATAACTGGGGTTTGTATGTAATGAGGATTATAGCTCAATATTTCTGACAATAATATCTCCGATATGGACATCTGTTAAAGATATGAGTGACTTCTTTTTAAATAAGAAATTACAGTTATTTAAATATTTAGATAAAATTGTATCAGACATTTACGGCTGGCCACTGAGCACCATCGATTCCTCACTGTAAGTATGATAACTTTAATACAGGATATACTCAAGTTGACACTTACCTTTGTGACATCAAACTTAAAAACTTCATTAAAATACATTGGCTGACTAATGATGAGGAGATAGAATGTCCAGCTACGACAGAAGTTGGCTACTATAATGGCGTACACAGGCATGGAGGTGAAGAAGCTGAACCATGGTGTGTTCATATCCTGAAACGAAATGAATACCACGTCATCTTACAGACCCAACACACGAGAAAACACATCTCTCGCAAACCCGATACACCACATTTACTCAATGTTTTACTACATCGGAGGGGAATATTACGAAAATGTGAAAGGGTAAGAAGTGTGATATGGGTGCTATTTCGAATTACTGAATAAAAACAGTTTGGATGTTTAAATTACATATCATATATAACGTAATTATAACGTTAAATATATTAGTTGTTTAGTAATTACTTTATTATATTAGTTTGCTACTGACCCCTACGGGATTACAAGGGGTCAGTAACACCCAGACGAACAAACGAAATAAATTGCATTGAGTACCTTTATAAATTAAAAACACGACAGAACAAAGGTTAACTCCAAGCTCTAGTGAATGAATCAAAGACATTTTATTCCGAAGCGCGACAATAAAACGAAGTCATCCTCCCTTTCCGTACTGATGTGGCCGAGAGTCGATTGTCGGTACACGTGTAGAATTCGGAACTTTGTTATCATATCATAGAGCTCATATCATATCATAATAACTAAACAGGCTTCTCTGATATAACCTGCAGGAAATTTGTAGAATTCTGAATGTTATTATTATATTATAGAACTACAATGGTATTGTTACTGAACATATCCCTCTGATGTTCTACAATGGTATTGTAACTGAATAGGTCCCTCTGATGCTCTACAATGGTATTGTTACTGAACAGGTCCCTCTGATGTTCTATAATGGTATTGTTACTGAACAGGTCCCTCTGATGTTCTACAATGGTATTATTACTGAACAGGTCCCTCTGATGTTCTATAATGGTATTGTTACTGAACATGTCCCTCTGATGTTCTACAATGGTATTATTACTGAACAGGTCCCTCTGATGTTCTACAATGGTTTTATTACTGAACAGGTCCCTCTGAAGTTCTACAATGGTATTATTACTGAACAGGTCCCTCTGATGTTCTATAATGGTATTGTTACTGAACATGTCCCTCTGATGTTCTACAATAGTATTATTACTGAATAGGTCCCTCTGATGTTCTACAATGATATTGTTACATGTACTGAACAGGTCCTTCTGATTTTCTACAATTGATCGACTTTTATAGATGATGCTTACAAAAAAAACGACGAAAACAGTGATCAAATTGTAATTCAAACCACGAAAACAGTGATTAAAATGTAATTTAAACCACGAAAACAGTGATTAAAATATAATTTAAACCACGAAAACAGTGATCAAAATGTAATTTAAACCAAGAAAACAGTGATCAAAATATAATTTAAACCACGAAAACAGTGATCAAAATGTAATTTAAACCACGAAAACAGTGATTAAAATGTAATTCAAACCACGAAAACAGTGATCAAAATGTAATTTAAATCACGAAAACAGTTATCAAAATATAATTTAAACTACGAAAACAGTGATCAAAATGTAATCTAAATGACGTAAACTAAATACGTAACGTGTATTTTTTTTTTATATATAATTATGTTGTTTTATTACACGTTAATCTCAAGGATATATTTAGGATGGAAAAAAGAAGAACAAACATACAAACTGTTGCTGATATCTATAATTTACATGTACGCTTACACTAAAGTACAATGTATGTATACATATACGATTGAATGGCCCGCAGACAATTCCACATATAAATATTAGAGTTAGAACAATGAAGTTGTCTGGACATAACATTGACAGAATTATGCTTATTATTTATGGTCCGTTAATTTGACCATTTACTGAATTGCTTTACAAAATAATATAGTCCTGTTACACTGGTAAATTAACGTTTTTTTAACATTTCTCCACGAACACTTATTTGAATATGGTTTCTAGTTTATTTTCGACCGGATTACCTACTTTATTATTTTAATCCCAGCTCATCCTGTTTATTTCCACATGAATGGTGTATTTGGAGATGTCTAGTTATATGTATGCATCGTGGTAAGACCTCCAGACCAATCTAGAAACTACTCATGTGTGAACGTTGTTGGAAAAACAGATAGTTATCGCTAGGTTTTGTCGATAATGATGGTATTTTGATTGTCATGACCGTTCGACCGTTTCTTAAATTATGTGATCTTCGTATTAAGAGCTAATGCAATATTGAAAGTGCTCTATGTATATATTGAGCAGATGATAAGTCGATCGTAAAGCCTTACTGTGCTAGTCTAACCGACTCTTAAGTTCCGCGTGTATATTTCCGACAGAACATAGATAAAATGTTTCTGATGAGATAGAACAAGAAAAAATATACAGGGAAAATAACTTGTTATTGAAAAGTCTCCGGAAAGGTTCTTCCAACACAGATAATGTTCCGGTACAGAAGCCGAAAGCTTAATGTCATCTAATTCGTCTTTAGATATAATCTTGTCAAACGTAGAAGTTGTCGGAGAGGAAATACGTGACACGTCTATTGTTTCCTGTGTGATGTCTTATCGGTACCTCTCAATAGGTAGCGTTCTCCGTGAAAGAAAATCCAATTCTATTAAATGATTAAATGATCCCTCTGGTTGGTCTGTCGATCTGTTTCGAACCCAAAGTTAATGTGCTCAAAGTTTGAAAGCATATAGAGGCTAATGTTTAATCAATAAGGCACAGGGAAAACCATTAAGTAACAAAGGGGCACGGCGTATTCGGGATGAGGGAAAATCTAATTATTGACTAGACTTGTTTTTAAAGAGGAAAGTGCACTTTCGACCTATCAAATCAGCGAGATCCATTTGGAAAGACGTTCCACCTAGATGTCTACTACTGGCCAATCTGGCACTGTTTCTGTCGAACAATATGCAAACATTATATATTAGTACATACGATTGTGGAGATTCGGAACTACGCTGAATATAATAACATTAAGCACGACCGTAAGGAGGAATGATCATAACACACTTCCAGGACACTAGCAAGATTAAACAGACGAGCCTGTTCCCTGGTAGATCGATAATGAATGCAGATGTATGGATGTGTCCCTATTATATGTCTATAGTGTACTTGTTTACAGTACAGGTGATTTAAACATGTATTTCTATCAGGCTTAATGAAGATATCGTAATGTTTATAACACCAGTGTTATCATCTTTTATGTAAATGTGACATATTCATAATTGAAATAAAAGTAAATAAATTGAAAATTACCGAAACTGCGTGTTTGTAAATAACTGACATTATATGTATACAAGTTTGCAAGGATTGATTCACAGAAGAAATCCTATTTCTTACATAATAAGAACAGAAACCGATTACTATCCCTTGGGTTCATGCACCAGCTCGTCCAATAACTCCAAGTGGCGATTATAATATTGAGAACAGCTGACACCGACACAGAGTGAAAACAAAGTCAACTCTTCAGTCGACAGGCAGCGATGGTGGCGCCGATCCTCTGATGTATCTAATTGATCAGTGTTTCAATTTGACGTTTTAGTTGACAAGTCAGCACCAGGTATGCCCACCCAACGCAACGGTAATTGCTCTAATACTCTGTTGTATTTAATTCATTAGCGTGCTCATTGTTTTCATTTGAATGTTATTTCATTCCTTGATCAGAATTACCGTTTGATGCGCGAAGCCATTGTTGTGAATTCGGTATTTTACGCATAGTTCGTTCGAGAGATTCTCTATAGGGCGATAGAACTGTAGGGCATCTACTCAAATTGATATGAATCATTTGAAAACAACAATTTCTAACAGATTCTTGCAATATCTGGGCATGCATTTTGGTGCTGAAGAGTGTAAAAATGTGCTAATGCACATAGGAAAAAGCAAGGTATTCCGGGATATGGTCTATGTATATAGTGGACGACCGTTAAATTTTCTTTCATAAAAACCAAAGGTGTTTTCACATCACGCGTTTTCCCTCCCTACACAATTAACTCCCTCTACTAAGTTGATCCCTCTCGATAATGCAAATTGTGAGTAAAGATAACCTTTCTCTAGCGACACATGCTAAACCTTCTATAGGGAATGTACACGGGAACAGTGCCGTTAACGATGGGATGTGCACCTTAAGATAAATGTACAAGACTCACCTTACATGATGTCGATTCACCTATCGACGTTTCTATATATATCTTTTCTTCATTTGAGATATAAGGACTGTTAGATGGTCTTTCGAAAGAGAAAAACCACCATATAATAGACCAAACGATCCCAAGGACACCTAAATAAACCAGAACAAATAGAAATAATTACCAATCGGGACACACAGCTATGTATATGTTTGTAAATGTGCGAAACATTTTATTTTCGATGAAGACGGCTGCAAAGCTTAGAAACGTTACTGATGATCAACTATACTTGCCCTGTTAATTCTAGGATTTTCAGACATAATAAAAACAGTACGGGCGAACACACTTTTATCCAACTTCCGTTTATAAGTATAAAATGAAGGGCAAACAAATATTCATGTTAATTCTATGTAACAAGATAGCTGTGGAACATCAATATCTTAGTCAGTATTTAGAATATTGACTTATTAAAACATGTCTCACCAAAAACATAGAAACCCGCCTGCCACCCGAATTGTTTAGTGAGTATTCCGGAGAGTGGCATTCCCAGCACCGCCCCGGCGTACGAACCTAAAATTAGGATAACGTCAATGAATATTAATAGTTGTATGATATTGAACGTTTTAAGTTCAAGATAAAGAATATTTCTTAAGATAACGGAAGATAGATACGTCTTACACATCAATTCATAATTTCCCTTTATGATTTATTATTAATGCAATCAATTATCCTCATAACATATATCTTTAGATTGTGAGTTTGGCAATAATGAGACTTTTATAAATGTATTGTGATTACTGACTATAATTGTATAACATGTTACTATAACATTCATATTATACATCTTATTACATTAAAAGTACACACCTAGACTTAGTTCACTACAAGTGTCTTATGACTTGTACGTAGTATTTATATTAACATGACATACCGCAGAATGATATGGTAGCAAGCTTCGACCTCTCGAATGGCGGAGCCCAGTGTCTCCATATACCGTGACAGGCTGGGTAAGTGACACCCTGAAACAAACACGTCACATGTATTTAAATAATGGTCTGGAATATTCCAAATAAAAATACGACTATGATTCGATAGACCGCGTGACCCAGCTCCCATAAAATAACGGAGAAATAAACTAATTAAATAACAATCTTTTCATAAAAATCGGACAATGTCATGATTACGCTATTCCGCACGAACACGCGGCAATCTTTGCTAAACAATTAAAAAAGAGTTTCATAGTTTCATTGCAAATAGGCATTTACACATGTAAATAGTTTTGCAAGTTTCAACGAAAATTAGGAAATTCACAACAAATGAGCAAGTTCCAATGCATAGGAGTTAAAGAACTATGGAAGTATTTTCATCCGAAGCATACAAGGACGTCAGGACATGCGTTCCTTCTACGTGGTATAGGTGTGTGTGTATACATCATAAATAGTCGAGTTCAGTATTCTGCATAGCCGGAACTCATTATAAATAACATCAATGTCAAACATTCTACAATATGTGTCAAATACACTTTCGACATTAATGTGTATTGCTTTTATCTCAGTACCACTGATGATATGGCATTTTGGTTATTTTAATATTTACTTTTTTTACATTCTTTAAAGTCAAACACTACATGTCTTTTCCTATTCCCTAACCAATTCATCCTTTTCCTTTTCTTTTTTTTCTAATCAAATTAAAAGAGTTATCTGTTTTGTATCATACCGCAGACTTGTGTTTACACATACCTGTTCTTAATCAATAGAAGAAGGAGATACATTGTGAACTTATCGAAACACAGACAACACGTCAGAGAGTCTCACGTCATAAATATCGGAGATCACTGTCGAGCTGTATTTTGCCTATTCCATCTGCGTTGGTGCTCGCTACTTTGAAATTCAGACACGCACACACAACTATGAGGTAACGTGTGTCAGGTGAATATCGATAACCAATAATTGCCTTTTTAAGGACGTTTCCTCTTCATTACAGTTTTATGACGTGATTTGATAGCTGGTGTGTCTGATTATTAAACAGGTATTGACATTACCCATAAAACAAATGTCACGAGCCATGGCCTAATTAAACTTGTATCGGTTTCCATTGCTTTAGCGATTTCCTGATTGTATCGATTTACTGTTGGAAATACACCTGGAATATCAATTCATAAAATAAAGGGGCACTTGTCACGCAAAATGCAAATGTATTAATATAAGAAATGAAAATATAATACGTGGAAAATCGATATTTTGCTGGCATGAAAATATATAAAAAATACTGTTGTGTCTGTCTTTATCTGATAAGAGCGCTGTAATAATAATGGCTGTTCTTAAAACAGTCTTCTGAAGTTATTAAAGTGGCATGTTTTACATTTAAGAATAGTTACAATGTATGCTTAAAACACGCATATTAATTGGTTTAAACTTTATCTATTCAAGTAATGAAATACTTGTCATGAATAATACAAATCCCTAAGGAAACAAGTGCTGTGTACTTATATAAATCCTTCTCATCTTTCTAACAAACTAGTTTATTAATTTAAGTTGTCCGTTATAATAATGCTTGCGCCAAGAACATAATCAATCATTTAAGATGCTGACGGTTTCGTACTTAACGTTTACTATGTGTACACTCAAGAAAAGAAAAATCTAAATAAAGTAACCTGTTACAGAATTGATTAAAGCCAAAACACCAATCAATTACAATCAAAATAATCTGGTATCAAACGTTAACAGCCAAAACATCAATACTATTTGTAACAGTAACACGCAAACATTGACCAAATTAGTCTATTATAAACACGTCAACAGTTAAAACACCAATAATAATTTTCGAAAGCTCACGAAATAAGTTTTCAATTTCGCTTTGTGATTCAAAATAAACTTAGCCTTTAATAATTAAAGTAATCTGTTAACACATGAACCCATACGTATTAAAGTCGTCAGATACAAAATCGGTAACAGTCAAAACACCAATACGATTAAAAGAAGCACATTGAGCGCTTATTAAAGTAGCCTGCCAAAATAATGATTATAGACGAAACACCAAACTAAGTATAGCAGCCCGTGGTGACAATGGCGATAGTAAAAGTCCGTATTAATCTAAAAAGCGTGTTTTAAACAATGATTACACCAAAAGATACCTAACGTTTAGAGTATACATCATGTGTTCGTCATGGAAATTGAGGATAACTGGGGCTGCAAATACCTTTGTATTAATAAAACTTTATCAAATGAACACAAAGTACAAACACAGCGTGCCGATGAATGTGCATATGAGTGTTCGGTTAGATTTTTGTGTGTGTCAAAACAGCACTGCATACAATAGGTGTCATCACCCTGTGATAGAGAATACCATATACCAATAATGGAACCGATTGGTATTGTACAGGCGGCAGGCCTTGTCAGAATCAGACACGTTCACGTAAATACGTTGTCAAGAAAATGACAAAGACCGTCTGCGATTCTGTGCTGTGAATGCATTAATCTTAAATTATTAGAAATCTCCCCTGTGACTGAAAATATTATCGGAAAGGTATTGACAAGATAAACAGTGTAAGATATTTATATAAATTGAATATGTCATTGGCTATTGAAAAGTGTATTAATACGAAGCTGTAAATATATCAACGCTTCACTGACACGAACCGACCTCAGCACCCATCACTCTTTCGCGGCAGACAAAACTTCAATTGAATTGTCCTCATCTTCTTGTCACAAAGCAATCTGATGTGACTTCTGTCCCTGTCGGCACTAAGATATTAAGTGTTGGGAGAGATTGACTGTGGACCTGAACTGGCCACCGTGAGGCAATCTTGGATATATCTTCCTAGTGCAATATTGTCTTTCACGAGTGCCATGAAGGGGCTCTGGGCCTGCTACCATCACGGTATTAATTTTCTTACTGACATGGTTATCGCAGAAAATGAACCATATCGGTAATTGATTGAATGTAGCGGAATGTATTGGTTCATCTGTGCCAATACCAGTGCTCGTCCTTTGAGAGCCTTTTATAAGTCACATAGCTATCATGATGAGTTTGTGATTAAAAAAGTCCTATCAGCCACGTCTCGGGTATGATATCCTTGGAATGAACGATACACAGTCCAATATTGTATTTGTAAACACTTATTGCTTATCAACGTATTTAGCTTTCTATATTTAGAATATGACAAGTTTAATTGTACTATCTTATTATTAGGTATCGTACTGAATTTTTACAAGAGTAGCATCTAAGATTTAAGCAGTTAATATGAATTGTTTACTACCTCTGAGATCATTTGGTGAGCGGTACACACGTTATAGGTCAGGGAAAGCATTTCATCATTCCTCAAGCGTGTTAATATCGTGTTCTATTTTACTAGTTTAAATACATATTTCTATATCCGTTTCTTTCCTAAAATCGTCTAGTTTGAGAGTCCTAATAGCATTCGTTTGCTCGTATTGAGCGTATTTAGTATACTACAATGAGGAACCGCCGTTTTTCTATGTCCGAACGTATTTCTAATGCCCTGTAAATATGTCTCCGGTGCCCGATGTTGGGAGTCTGTATACATGTATTGTTATTGCTTCCCTGTAATTATATTTCACACAAATAATTCTAAGAAAGGTTTAATTTAATGTCTTCGTTTATCTTTTTGGCATTGAAAAGCAAAGCTTTGGGCTTTCTTAAATTCTTAAAATAGAAAATAAACTGAATTTACTTTTATTCGTTTACATCACTAAAAGACTATCACTTATTCTTGAACAAGTTTTTCTTTTTTTTTTAAATAATTGGCGTTATTTATCGGTATGAGCGACTCTACCATAAATTTGTGATTCTGTTTGAGGACAAAACACAACGTTAAGNGACTATACCATAAATTTGTGATTCTGTTTGAGGACAAAACACAACGTTAAGTGTATACATTGTTTATCTGCGTTTCGTCTTATTTCTACTGCACACCTTTGTATCCGATATGTCATTCCGTTTTAGCAGTTCCAAATCCTATATGGAGATCGTTTCCATAAAGTATTGCTCACTGCACAAACATGCTTTATTTTATCCCCTCAACACGTCTACCTTAAACACGTAAACCATGGACAAGTGTGTGTAACCCCAGCAACAGAGGCACATTTAATCAAGCTGTTCGACAAAGGAAATAAATAATTACATTAATTCATCTCTTTACTCCTGTGATCATTAAAAATTTACTTGATCTGTATTGGCGAGAGCGATTCCGTGATTATCCCGAGCAGGTTGGGCACGCTATGTTAACAGCTAAATGTGAATGCATGGTTATGCTTGTAGCTACACTGGTGCCAACACAGACCTAGGACAAAGGCAACAGAGGACACGTCGACGGGCCATGGTGCATGTATATCTTGAAGGAATGTGCAATTGTAAACAGCAATGACATTAGAATGTAATACCTGAACCAAAATGTTCTGCTTTTTATATACTGCATATTTTGTAGTACAAGAAATGGCTTTTAAAGAGAAATGAAACTATATTTATCTTAATGAATTTTTAACCAAGTTGGACAAGTTAAATTCGGGTTGTTTAACGTTGAATAAGTTAGAGATAGATTAAGTGATTTGTGAATGACCTTCACCCTCTGGTCTTACCTCGACGAGTCCCTGAAGGATCCTGACCGCCATGACCAGTCCATAGTGCACCTGAGCAGCCCCAGGCAACAGGAGATTGAGAAATGCGGAAACACCAATGGCCAATCCAAATATCCTGTAAAGTGAAAAAGTCAAACGTCAGAATAAGGTTATCGACTTTCTTATCAAGTTTTTCATATTGGTTAAAAATGCATTGTACGTGTACATATTATTGCAAAATGCAAACACCACGGAAATCTCTATGCATATGCACGTACTACATGTAGTAATAAACAGTAGAATATCCCTGCCGATATTTAAATGATATGACATGTAAAATAAGCATAAAATGTATTAACACGTTCTCCTCTAATAACATGTATAAAGCATAGCATAAGGTGACTTTATGTATCCGTGCTATACATGTTTATCCATGGTTTACTTCTAAAGATGATGTCAGACAACAGCAGATTTATGATAAAATAACGGAGATCAATTATTGATGAGCGTATATGAAATACAGTTCAATAGAAAGCAGATTGGCAGCAATGATTGAAAAGATTGAATACAATCACAATACTAATTGTTTTGATAATATATCCTATCGTCATTTAAAAAATTCATGAACATTTATTTCTTCTTTTTCAGGAGTTTCCATCCATGTAAATCTCGCTTTGTTTATATATACTGTAAGAGTTACGAATCTAAAGAATATACAGATACATTTTGCATTTTGTTTTTGAGTTTTTTAAAGAACAACTATAAGCTACATACTAATGGTATTTTTGTACCAAAAGATAGCAAAACTTTCTTCAGAATATTTTTGATAGATAGTCTTCAACAAAATAAAACGGCTTAATTTTATTTTGAGACAGTTAACACGTCACTCAATATGTTTACATCTGTAAAAAAAATATGTTTTCTTTGTCTTAATATATCATAGTTAAGATCAAGTATATATAATTTATAAAAGGTAACTAAGCCCATCGTACTTAGGTTTTGCTCCTCCAACCTCAACAAAACATATATGCAAAGGAATTCGATTTCTAATTTCCGGAGTAGCTTTTCCTTAATGAATAGACAACACATTCTCATTACTGCATTCATGCAAACACGCAATGGTGATATATTGCTTAGCAAAAATTACCAAGGAATTGTAAGCATATACGTGAGTATATATCTTTTTGTGTTTCAGATTAGTATATCTGGTATATAGATATCGACGGTCCGTACGCTTGACTGCAACCAGAAACAGACTTATACAAATGTATATATTGTAATGTATTGTATGTTAGGAAACAACAAATGTATATATTGTAATGTATTGTATGTTAGGAAACAACAAATGTATATATTGTAATGTATTGTATGTTAGGAAACATGCAGGTGAACATGTAAACGTAGAAAAATAATGTAAGGAAACAAATAACACATTATCAATGTTCTAAGGTTTTTCATTTCGTTGGTTTATTTATTTATATTTATTTTTCATAATCAACTAAGGCTAAATATTCTATTCCATATTTGGATCTTGTTAATGAGTCAAGTTACTTTTGGACAAGCGATATCGTGTCAGAAATTTTACTAGTGGTGCCGTGTTAAAATACTTGTTTACTAATGTTGTCGTATAAGAACACATGTGGTGTTGTGTTAGAAGATCTATCGACTAGTGGTGGTTGGTGTCATGATTAAACTCTGTGACGGGTGTTTTCGTGTCGTGTCAAAATACAGATAATCAAATAGTGTCGTGTTGCTTGGTAATTTGGGGAATTATGTCGTATCAGGTCACCTATCTGCTAGTGGTGTCGTGTCGTGTTAGAATACCTGATAATTTTGGGAATTATGTCGTACCAGGTCACCTATCTACTAGGGGTGTCGTGTCGTGTTAGAATACCAGATAAGTTGGGGAAGTATGTCGTACCAGGTCATCTATCTATTAGTGGTGTCGTGTCGTGTTAGAATACTTGATAATTTGGGAAATTATGTCGTACCAGGTCATCTATCTACTAGTGGTGTCGTGTCGTGTTAGAATACCAGATAATTTGGGAAATTATGTCGTACCAGATCATCTATCTACTAGTGGTGTGATGTCGTGTTAGAATACCTGATAATTTGGGGAATTATGTCGTATCAGGTCACCTATCTACTAGTGGTGT